CAGGATCTTGGCTTTGCAGTCGACGGTGGTAATATTTCGTATGGTGTTCAGACTTACATAAGAACAACCTGTTAAACACGTCGCCGCGGCTCGCACGTCAACGCGCGTTTTAATCTGGAAGCGACCCGACTTCGAGCAAAAAAATCCGCCCATATTCAAGCCGACTTGCTGCATATGTTCAGGTAGTGATGGGATCGATACTTTCGCCGGTATATCGAAACTCGACGCGAAAGTGCATCGTAAATTACTTACAACTATGCATAAAATGGAAAATATTTAGTTTTTCAAGATAGATTACGAGGTATTATGATGATTATATTTATGATTTAATTATATGTGACAGCTAATCTGATAGATTATAAATTTATCACGAATTTATTGTATAAAAAACACTTTCCGAAATAAAATGCGTTTGATATAAGTGCGATCTTGATGACATGTGTCTTTTTGTAAACAGAATCGACCTATTTTAAGATATATTCGAAATTTGGCAACATCGGCCCATCGCTACGCACGCGTTGATGCGTGTAACATCGATTCGTTTTCAGGCTACGCACGTTTGCGAACCGTTTTCACCTGACTTCCGTCGGGGGGGCCTTTGGGACCGCGTGGTGTCGCGCGCTTATGAAACTTCCATTTCCTACTATGGGACATTGCTGATTTGTGAAAGACAGCTTGTTTACTTCCTATTTCTTTTCCTTCTCGACGGCAGTCTATCATAAGGTTCGAAAATTGTAATAATTTATCCTTAGACATCTCGCCATTAATAAAATTTACATAATAGTTTAAAAGTAGTTGTAACGATTTGTTAATGTTTACTTAATTTTTTAATAATGATTAAGATAATGATTTAAGAGTGATTATTATTTTTCAGACAAGCCTGATATTTATATTTAAACTAATTGTTAAATATTTTTCATTTTTCATTTTATTTGATTTTTATAGTGCGTCTTCTAATATTGATAATTTATATGTTTATTCTTCTTTCTCTTAAGTATTTTTTGCAAGCGTAATGATAAGAAGAACGGTTTCATTTTCTTTAGGCAGATATATGCGCGTATGTAGGTTACGTTGGAAAGCAGCTAAAGTTGAATATAGTAGGCTGCACAATTGAAGCATTGCTTTGTTTTCATGTCGTTTTATTATTTTTATCTTATTCTAAATATTTTTGTTCTACTATTAAGTAGCTATCATTTCTTTTTGTAATTTGAAACTATTTATTGATACATACTTTTTTTTAACATCTTACAAATACACAAATATCTTTTTATTTTCTGATATTATATTTCTTTTCTCGTATTCTCCTAATTTATATTCCGTGACCCCATTTTTTAGAAAAAATTATTCTACGGTTTTATTCCACTTATTTGCATTTTCTGTACTTTCTATAGAAATTGCCGTACAACATAAGTTTATATAGAACTTGAAATTTACAAGAAATCTGCAAGAAATATTCTTTTTAAATAACTATTCTACGGCACTCTTCATCTCTAATCTCAGTTCGACTCCACACATCCTTTCACCTCACTTCCACCGGATTCTAGACGTTATGCGCGCTCGCACTTATGAAATTTCCATTGGTTTCCTGCGTGGAAAACGTGATAAGTTTATGATATGCTACGTGGGTGGCCTGGATACGCTTCCCGTCGTCCTGTTCTTTACGTCCTTGCGATAGCATTCTTCTTCCATGGAACTTAATATTCCAGAGACAATCACTACGTCTACCCTTTCACTTCATTTCCGGCGAAAGAGATCTTAAGAGTGTACGCATGTTTTTCTTCAATACTGAGATTAAGTGCTTTATTTATTTTGGAATATAAAAATATCCAGATTTTTCCGATCATATCGATGTATTTTTATTGCTAAATCGCATACGTCAAATACTTTGACGTATATCCTTTTAGATTTATTAACTTCCTCGTTACTTTCCTCACTTTGATGTCATTTCAGAAACCTGTTTCGACGGTCAGTCCAACTCTGGTAATGCAAGATAAATAGCGCACAATGCGTAACTTCATGGAAAAAATTGTGATAGAAAGCCGATGGAACTCGGTCGAATTTCTATCGAAGTCCACCCCATCCGGCAGGTATCTGCACGCGTGCACGTTCACTCGTTTAGTCGCTGACAGTGCAAAACGCGTCACCGATTTCTTACCGCGCAATTAAATCCGCTTTCTGGAATTCGTGTAACTCTATTTTTAGGAAACAATTTTTGTCAAGAATTTTGTATCTGCGTGTCTAGATACTGCGTATACGTAAAATGCTTACAGCTTGTAATAAAATTTTATATACAGGATGTATTTGCTTTAAGGCGAACAATTTGTATGATATTGATGTAGTTTAAGAATGAACTAAACGTTTCATAATTACAATCGTATAATCGTAAAAATCATTAAATTTTATATGTAATGGATTTTTGAAATAAATTATGACGTGGCATTTAATATTTAGTATGTTATTACATTTATTTTATAAATTTGTGTTTATTACAATATAATACCGAAATACGAAAAACCCATTGTACTTTGTAGTCATCAAAATATCTAGAATAATTAATCTAAAATTTAAAAATTTAGAAAAAAAGGAAGAAGTGAATGTCAAAGTGTTTTGATGGCACAATGTTGTAAAACTCGATTCTCAGAAGTTTCACCGGTGTATGTAACAAGTCTTTCTTTTTTCTGTCTCTACCGTTATACCAGCTAGTCACGATTAGCGACGCTCATTAATAATTCAGCGCAATCCTGAAGTTGCATCCTGCGATCACGACAAAGGTACGAACGATTTCGCATCGAGCAATAAAAGATATTTTTCTCGTATAGAAAGAGAAAAAGGAATGATCGACTTGATGAATATTCAGCGTCGAATCTGTCGCTAATATAAATAAAACATGCTTGAAAATAATTTAATTGTTTAATTTAGCATGCTACTTAATACGCCGTACAACGCGTTACTTTGAGGTGTGGCAGGATGAGATAGAAAGTTGTAACGTGATAGAGCTCTATACAGTAAATGCAAAGCGACATTTTACAATCGTAATTAGATCCTATAATTTACTTGGAATATTCAAGGGAAAATCGATATTGACATATTTGAATGACAGTCACGCACGATCGACAATTTTCTAATTTGATTTTTGTTTGAAAGCAAAATAGCAGAGAAAACAAAACATTGTATGTTGATACATATACCAAAGTCATGGTCACGTAATTTCGTTAACTCTGTCCGAAGCAATGAGTTTTGATGAAATAAGATAAATTCAAGATTGGAAGTGATGAAAAGTGAAAAGCGAAAAAGTTCTATTACACGATTCAATTATACAAACGATCCGCAGATGGGCACTTTCACAGGACGATAAAGTGAATTTCGTAGCATTCAAAGACGTAGCACATCAAATGATAAAGTTGTAATGGGACAGACATATTTTTTTGTATGCCCATTCATACGTCCATAAAGAAAAGATCCATCCAGGCGCGGCGAAGGCGTTACGCGATTACTCGGTGATTTCGATGCCACTGGTCGATTAAGTTTTATGCCGTTATATTGCA